TGTCAGCAGTTTCCAAGCGCTTAATTACCCTCGATCAGGCTTAGCTGTGGGCCCTTTTGTCTTTGCTTGATTTTCTCGTTCAACCGGAACAAAAACCCATCGCTTAGCGGGTTGCAGAGGGTCGGATCCGTCCCAACCCGCCAGCAACAAACCGAACACGTTGACAATCCGCCTTCGTGGTGTGACTGAACTATGTGGGATCGCCAAACCGCAAGTGATGGCTCAGTTCCCAAACAGAGAGAAAAAGAGGGGGAAAGACATGAACACCAGGAGTCAAGTCTCTTTCTTGTTCAAATCGGGGGGGGGGGTGAAGAAGGTGACTTTCCCTCAGCTGCCTATGGAAAAAAAGGAGCCTGGAGAAGTTCGGGATGCTGCTGAACTGCCGGGATCCCAAGATGTGCAGTTGCGTTTGCTTGGGTCGGAGCTGCAAACTGCGCGGTCAAGAAACGAGGCACAAGCTGGTCGCTTCATGTGTAAGACGTAATGTCGGGGGCATCAGCCAGGATTCCGCCCTTGGAGTGGGGCCATGTGGTCCGTTGGAAGTTGGGTGGTTTTGAGGGCCTTTGTGGTTGCCAACTTGTATAAAGTGAGTGTGATCCGGTTGCCTCAGGAAGGCACTTTGCAGCGTTGCGTGCTCGGTGTACTTGCAACGCGTGTCTCTGAAAAGTTAGACCCTGCTTGTTGGGTTTCAAAGGGAAGCCGAAAGACCATAAGAAAATCGCCAACAGCTGGTTTTCCCTTTCTTTAGATCCCACTCGACGGTGCTTTGAAGGTGTCCATGCACATGGGAATCCATAAGGAAACCGCCACCGTAAACAGATTGAGAGAGAGAGAGAGACCACAAACTTTAGGTGCCTAATATGTCCGGTTCTGGTGATCTTAAACTTCACCTGGGCCAATTCCAAGTGTTCCTTTTGTATGTTAAGTTACCCTCCTGTCCGCTAACATGGAACCCACCAGAGGGTTCCACGGCAACGAGAATGTTTCATTTTCCCCTGTAAATACCAATAAACAATGGTTATTTCACCACGGTTTCAAAGTGGTGCGAAATGGCTTTCGCAACCATCCATATGGAAAATCTTGGAGGATTCACCCATGGGTTCACTTCACATCGCTCGTGTTTTAGGCGTGAACTGCATCGCCAGCGGAAGCGGGCGCCGCTTGGGCAGCAGGTTGGGCTCCGTGCCATGGACCAATGATGTGGTCCTCAGTTCGAAACGGAACGCACAAATCAAGATAGGTTTCCTAGGTCCCCAAGTAATGTTGACCCCGGATTAATAAACCGGCTTATTAATAGGGGGTGCTCACCTCCAATAGTGACGACTCTCCACTAAAACAGGGGCACCCCCTGTTAATCAACCAGGGGTTTATTAATCCGGGGTGCCCATTAGTGCCTTTTACCTTTTTTTGGGGGAGGGTTCCCCTACTAAAATACACTTCAGAAGAAACACTTATTCTACCCTCTTTGCTGGAGGACCTAGTTTCTTTGGGGTTCTCCTTGGAACAGCAACGCGCCCCGGAGTGGGCACCTAATTTGTTGACCACCTTGTCAGCTGACCACTTGTGAGTCCCCGTGAGGCAAGAAGAGCGCCTTGTTTGGGGCCAACTTTCGGGGTTTTCAACACTGCCAACTTTGAACAGCCAGGGAACTACGCAAACCACCAAACCGATAGAAGGAAGCTGAGCACCAATTTTCGGGGCCTGGAAAGACTGCGTCAATTGACCCTCCCTGCAGCTGACTTAGGGAATGTTCAAGAGGAACATCTTTTTTCCCAGGTACCCTCCCACAGTTGCTACGTTTGTTGGAGGGAGGTAATTGCCTCCGGTCCAAACCACCAAACCAAGAAGAGGAAGCTGAACCGCCTATTTTCGGGGCCTGGCAAAACCTGTGTTAAGTTCTTTGGACGCAACGCAAAACTCACTCACTTGCCGTATGTCAATTTAGAAGCACCGCATTTCCCACTGACTCGCCGTCAAGTTCTTTGGAGGCACCGCATAGGTCTCCGGCGCTCACGCGCTCGCCGAGGCTACGTCTTTGTGAGCACCCCCAGCTGGTACCTGCCCCTGTCCGCGCGGCTCTTCCGGCGCCTCGGGCGGCTGCACGAGATCCGCGAGACTTCCCTGGCCACCGGCGCGAGCCTCGGGCCGCGGGGTGGATTTCAACCCGGAAAGGCTCACGAAAACCCGTTCCAAACCAGGGAATCCTCCCAAAAAACACAAACAAAATTATGGAGCCGACAAGTGACTCTGCGTCCAATAGACTGTTTTCTGTGTCATGCAAGGTGTTGTTCGAGAAGCTGATGTTTGAGTTTGCTCCTAGGTCCCCCAGCTAGGTGCCCTTCTCTCCCAACTTTTTTGGTTGGGGGGGTTTTCCTTATTATGTAATATGAATTTCCCTAAATCAGCAAAAGCAGCGGCCCTGATACCATATATACGCTAGGTCCCCCAGTAGTGCCTTTTACATCCTTTTAGCCTTTTTTGGGGGAGGCTTCCCCTACTAAAACTACAGAAACAAGTTGGTACCCTTCTTCTAACCTCTCAAATCTGAAGGACGTAGACCTGGCGCTTTCTGGAAGCAATGCGTGCTGATGACCTAGTACCTGATGTTTTCTACCTGATGACCTAGTACAACAGAAAACTACAGAAAAGTGGTTCTCTGGTTGGTTTCCCTTCTACAGCCAACCAACAAGGGGGGGTACCCGCAAAAAGAAGACACGCCCACGTCTACCTCGCCGATGTTTTCCCCCGAATCGGAGGCGGGCGGCCCATCACCAGCGTCCAGGCGGTGTGGCCCAGCCCGGCGGAGCCGCAGGCTCGCTCGCTCGCGCCGGGCGCGCGGGAGATCCCCCCCCCTGCCCCCCATTTGGGGAACCCCCGTTTTGGTTGGGGTGAAGCGACCCACATGGGTTTGTCGATTTTTTGGGATTGGTGTGAAATGGAAGCCAGGAGGGACACCTGAAAAACTCCCCCCAAAAAACACACTCATCATGGGTGTTTGAGTCAAGGACACCCAAAGTTGCTGACACCTTTGGTTTCCGCGGAGATTTTGCGGGGGAGTTGGACCTAAGATTGGTGAAACCCTTTCGGTTTTGTGTGAATTTCAACCTGGAAGGGTACCCGCACAGTTCCCTTGTGGCTCTTCAGAAGAATCCAACTCTTTGCTTGGGATCTTTTTTGATACTTGTTTACATGTGGAGGTTCACTTAATATGGACTAGACTTGCCAAAAGCGCATTCTTCTCAGTCGGGAGCAAGCACTGCGGGAGCGGGCGGTCGAAATGTTGGTGCTGGGCGTGTGGGTTGCGTTTGGGGTTCCTTCGACGTTCGGGTCCTGGTTTGGACCATTTTCCTTGTTAAGGGACCCACTATCAGCTTCCATCTTAATTGGCTGGAGGGTAGTTCCCGTCATCCGCCGAAATCATCTCGAGGTCCAGCTCCATTTCCCGGTTTCACCTTTGGCCAACTTGAATCGATTTGTTCCACGGGGGTGACGTAGAGCATATCAGGAAGCCCCGCTCCGACCTTATGGGAAATGGGTGTCACTGTGTTTAGGGAACCCCTCCCGCCAACCCAAAAAGCACGGTGGTTTTCGTGTTGCCTTTGAAAACGGCCAAAAGGTATCCAGCCCAAATGGAACTTGATCTTCCGATGGCTCCCCTCATGGCTCAGTAACAATCCGGGGGGAGGGGGGGTGCCATGAATTGATTCGAGAAGGCACCACCCAGCAAACCTGATACCGGCCCAGTGGGAACCTAACACGTGCAAATCTGCAAGCAGGGGAGCCTTAGAATCCAAATGCGAATGGGCAAACAGAAACGAGTAATGACTGCAGACATCGGCCATGAGGTGTGCGCCTTGCCACCGGGGTAATCATCGATCCATCATATCCTTCGTCTATTGAACCCCCACTACAGGGATCTAAATGGGGCACACACGATTTACAACCAGGGGTTGATTCATCCTAACCTTCTGTTTCCCCTATCTTTTTTTAAGGGGGCACCCCATATGACCTACTCTGGATGGACGAAATCCTGCACCACCTAAACAACTTCAGGGGTGATGCTTCCCCTGTGAATACCAACAAACAATGGTGTGTTATGGTTTCAAAGTGGTGCGAAATGGATTTCGTCCACCCACAGTATGACTTCACTGTTCTTGGCATGTTTTTCTGTTTTTTAGTTTTTTGATCTGTTCATTTTTACTGGGGGTCTGCAAAAAACAAAGTTTTTAGCTACCATACCAAGAGTAGAGATGATGAACAACCCTGGGGTCCATCAGGTGTTTTTCCTTCGATTCCAGGAGGTCATTGCCGCGGTGGACGCCATTTGGGGCGGCCGCATCGCGGGCCAGCGCGCGGCGCTGGGCCTCTGCGGCGGCGTGGAGGCAGTTTTGGGGGCCTCGACTGATGCGGGCCTTCGATGGTTTTGAAGGGAAACCAGAAAGAAACTCAAGCCGTTGTTGGGGTCCCTAGAAAATGACGCCCATATGCAATATACATATATACATATGTCTGGCTTACATTTGCTTAAGAACATTTTGTTATATGTTCCCTTGTTGGTTTTAAAGGGAAGCGATTGCACTACTGGAAATATCGCTTTTTTTCTTTTTTATTTTTTTCCCAGAAGGCTGGAAGAATAGGAACACAGTTGCCCGAAGCGAAGTGCTCCCGGATCTGACCTTTGGTTTCCCACTGGACAATTTTTGGTCACCCCAAAAGGTAAAGGTTTTATTCCGGGGCCCCAACAAAACAGTGAGAGTGGGCCTGGCCCCCTTTGCAGGTTGGTTTTGGCAGCACATGACTAGATTCGGGTGGAATTTGGTTATGGCTTCTACTGGTTTTGGGTTGAACATAGATGAATTCCCTTCACTGGGAGGGTACCCTCTAAGATCCAAACCGCCAATCCAAACCGCCACTTGGGGGCAAGGGGGAAACACATCATATATATATATATACATACATCCCTTGCATTCTATGCATCCCGTCCTGCAGAGTGATGCCGTATGTGCCATGGTCAAAAGACACATGCGCGTAGTTCCTTCCCCCTAATTAAATACCGTCCCCGCCCATAAAAGACCTTGGAGGGAGTTTTATTATTAGGCGTTGTTTCTTGCCTTAGATATAGTTCATTGTTTGCTGTTTCGTCTTGGACTTGTATTGGACAGTGGTTCCCCTTTGATTCGCAGCACGCAACTTTTAAGTAAGAACTCTGAACGTGACATTCCCGTTGTCAAATTCTTGGAATGCTTGGGGTTGGCGCTAGTGTTTGGAGGGGGGGCCCTGATAAGCACAGTTTGAGAGCTTGGTGGAACACATGTGTGGTCTCAGGAGTTTCGTATTGTTTTAGTATAGCTAATTTAATATGAGCCTTTGCGAATTGTGGCGCGGCTCAGGGGAGTTTTACTAGGGATAGGTTGATTAACAGGAAGAAGGGATTGCTTGGGGTAGGGATGGCCATCAAGCCCTCAGATAATTTAGGCAACGACACGAATCCCTGCTCAGTGACCAGTGGGTCTTGGGTTTGGAACCTTCATGTTGACCCAGCAGCAATGAAACCCATGGTTGGCTGTTTGGGGAACCGGCTCCCCTGTTTGGGTAACGTCTCTTTCCCGGCTGCCTTGTCCGGGCTCCAGCCTTGTTTTGGGATTCCCTACTTACAGGCACATCCAAGAATCCAAATGGGTTTGCAATATTGGCCTCTCGACGCGCCGGGTCAGCTTCTGGGTGTAGGCGATGTGGTTCCTACACCAGAGGTTCCACAATTTGCGAGGGGAGAAGGCAAGCCATGTCAACGCGGAAGCCACATAGCAAAGTATGAGTCTGTATCAAAGTAGCAGGAGCTCTAAACATGGTGGTGTTACCGTGGTGTTTCTTTGAACAAGTCAAGCACACATATCCAAATTGTGACCAGCCTTGTGGGAGTAATGTGGGATTTTTCAACCACTTCAGTGATAGCCGGACACTTCCCCAGCAAGTGAAGATTTTGTGTCATGGCTGTGGGTCAAAACCAATGCTACCATTTTGGGGTAGGTGCACCACCCATTTTAGTCTATTTTAGTGGTGGGTTGGGATGCTCACTGGGGGCTAACCGGGCTTTTGACCCATGGCCTCATTCGGGTAATTCCTACTGGCCACAAGCGTGGGCCGCTGGTGCTATGTTAGTGGGAGGCGGGAATACCTCTTCAAAGGCTTTCAAAGTTGACACATGGCTGGTTTTCAGGCGCTGAGTCTGAGTTGAACGTGGGTGATGTTTGAACTCACTCGCCTTTCCGGGAGCTTGCCTGGCAAGGTGTGGTCGATGAATTTATGTTACTGTCTGTCCGTTTGGGTGGTGAAACCCCAAAACGTGTCCAGGGATGGCGACGTTGAAACCAACTGACCATGGCTGGAGCGTCAGCCAGTGTTCCAGACACGAAAAGTGACTAAAGTCCGGCTCACGCCAGCAGTTCTTTGCTCGCTACCCGGGTTGAAGGAGATGGCCAAAGGGCAACACCAAGGAGCAACGAATCGGCCGATTCGTTGAACTCCGGATGTTTCAGGGTTACCCTTCCTAGAATTGGTGGGAAGGCACGTGCCATGGAACATGGTGCGGAAAAGGAAGGGTAGCCACTCCACGCGTTGTATTTTCCTTTCGGTGTGCTGTTGAAACCATTCAACAAGCGGTTTTAAGCTAAGTCTGGGAGCTGTGGAAACCCCGACATGGGGTTCCTTGAAAAGGAAACCAATCTTCCAGGTACCCTCCCAGTGCCCTGGTGGAAGGGATGGTAAGCCACTGACCCCTCGTGGCTCGCCCCGTGGGTTTCAGCGGTCTCCGGTATCTCCGGTACCGCCAGGCCATGGGGGAGTGGGTGCTGCGAATGACCATGGGCTGCCAGGGCCTGCTGATGCGGGCCTTGGAGGCCCCGTACCTGTCAGTTGAAATCAAATCGTTGGATGGTCTGTGGCTCTGGCACCAAGGAGACTAGGAGAAGAGGAGAAGGGCCGACTTTGTGGCTCCCTTTGACAGGTTTGGCCAAAGGAGAAGCATGGATATCTCAGAGAAACCGGCCGGTGCGGAGCAGAATCACTCAACCCCGTTCTGGTTTTCCTCTCGACATCGGCCGGGGGAATTGATCAGCGCCGCGCCCTCGGCGTGGAGTTTCAGGTGCTTCAGAGCTTCGCGCCCAGCTTCGAGCAGGCCTATGACGTGCCCTGGAAGCAAGTCAGTGGTGCTTTGGTCAGGTCCCCCCAATTCAGAGGCCTTTTTTTGTGGGTTCCAAGTGACTTTGCGACAAACCCATTTGGCGGTGGCGGATTCTTATTGTTGTGTGTTGTTTCAGGCTTTTATTTTTTAATAGGTTGTTTGGATTGGTGAGAGCATTGGGGAGTGAAGCCACCCCGGAACACCTAACCACCAAGCCAAACCACCCTTTTCGAGGAGAACTATTTTGTCTTCTGAAGGAATGGCAGTTGGTGTTCAGAAGTCAATTGGTTCAGTCTGGGTATTTTTATGGTCATGTTGCTATCACACAGGCCCGACTATTGATGGTACAGTGGAAGGAAGGCCTTGCAACTTGTAAGGTCCCCTGACAGCCCCTTTGGTGTTAAAACGGAAACGGCAAAGCCAACCACTGGGTGGCCTATGATTCCCTATCTGGGATATTCACGAACATCTTTTGACGGCCGATCTTTATTCAGTGTATTTGTTGTTTTTTTTCAGTGGGGGGTGATGTTCAAAGAGGGGAAACCTGAAACATGTTGAGGCAGTCAGGCAGTCAGGAGCTACTTTAGATATTGGGAAACTATCTCAGATGTGTCTCTCTTTCCTTTTTCAGAGAATGGGGACTGATTTTAACGAGAATGACCAAGTGGAAATGACCCTACACGAACTTTGAAAGCCTCCGACAAGTAGGGCCCAGTTTGAATCCGAAGCACACCAATCCATGGGACCAACATGTTTTCACCTTCGAACCCCTAAGAGCCCGACAAACCAAACGGCCCTCCAGAAGTCTTAGGATCCTTTCCCGGGCCTTTGGCTTTTTTTCAGGAGCTGGTGGCCGAAGGTGAGTTCGCGAACCTCGAGGAAGGAACGGTTCGAATGCTCGAACCCGGGAATGCGAATCCAACCTGGGAATCACAGGCAAAAAAGGCTTGTGACGTCAAATGAAGCCCCGAAACAACAAAATGGACCGTGAAATGGTAGGATGAAGCCCAGAAAGACACGATGTCCCTGAACTGACCGGATGAAAACCTGGAATGACACTGTCTCACAATGAAATGACCGTGTACACCGACGGGGCGACAGCAGCTAGGCAATTGCAGCTAGCACTTTGTTTGGAGTGGGGGCTGGTACCCCCGCCTCGAAGATCTGACAACGGGCCCTTTAGGAAGTGATTTGCCAGGTACAGGTGCATTCTGTTAGTAGGGATGTAAAAGGGTACCCCGTTTTGGATCTGTCTTTTGTTGAGAGAACCTCGTTTTTTGTTGTTTGTTCCCGAATAAGGGGGGGTGAAAGAAACCAAGCCCTGAAGTTACTATCAACCAACCCCCTACACCAGCCCTCCCAGCCTGCACCCAGAGCTAATCAAAAGTGATGGCTTTTGGAAGCTCCCTTTCAAGCATCCCCCTCCTTTCTGCAACTCAACTGCCGGCTGTTCAAAATCCCCAGTGCTGCCGAGAATGCATGGGTTCCTTCAGATAGGTCTGTTTGGTTTTGCAACTCCCAACCCCAATATATGTAGCCCTCTTTCCAGACTCTCCACGCCTTTTGAATTAAAAACTCCCCAGTGTTGCAGAGAACCTATCCCGAACTCCCCCGCCTTCCCTCTCGGCAGTATCTGCCGGAACCAAGGCCTTATCAGAGGCTACTTAGCAGATCATTTGGGGGTGTCCTTTGTTAGGGGACCTAACAAATTTAAATGGCAACGTTTTTCTGTTGGTTTCCCAACCCAAAGAAAAACATGTACCCTCAACCAATGCAGGAAAAAACCATTTGAACCAATTAAACGGCACATGTGGGTACCTGAACCCTCAGACTACCCCATAAAGGGAGTTCACCCCATATTTTCGGGGCAATCACCCCAGGTACAAAAACACCTACTCTAGGTCCCCCAGCTAGGTGCCCTTTTACCCTTTTTTGGTTGGGAGGCTTCCCCTATGAAAAATAGATAGAGCTCGAACCAAGTTGGTACCAACTTGTTCTACCCTCTCAAACCTGGAGGCCCAATTCTCAGGTAGCCCACCAATTCTCCGAAAGGGTTACTTCTCTGGGCATCCACCTGGCAGATCTCCCGCCCTCGACACCGCCGGACGCGCTTCCAACGCGCCGCCCGGCGCCCGCCCTCGCGACGGGCGCGCGCCAGGTGCCTTCGGACCCCTCGCTGGCGCGGTGCCTGGCGGACTGCGCCGCCGAGGCGGTGCGCCTCAGAGCCCACGCCGCCCGCCAGGCGGGAAACCGCGGCCTCCGGAAACGGGGGGGGGAGGAGGAGGGCCGGAAGGGGGGGAGGGGGGAGGGGAGGGCGGCTTTAAGGTGGCTTTGGGGGTTCTTGGGGTTTGTGATTTTTGGGGATGTTTTTGTTGTGGTGCTTGTGGGTTGTTGTTTGTTGTTCCAAGTGTTTGGTGTTCTTTGGGCCCGCCCTTTGCTTTTGCGCATGGCGATTCTGTTTGTTCCGCTTCTTGGAGTGGAGTTCCAGTCGGGCACTTTTGGTTCCCACTCCCCCTACTCTCCCTCCACCCCCTACTCCCCCTCCCTCTGCTCTCCCTGCTCCCACTGCGTTCTGCTCACGAGATGGGTGCCACACTGCAACTAATGTGAGCGGTGGTATTCATGTAGTATATATTATTTTTCCGCCGATGCCTTGATGGTTTTGATACCTAGACTCTGGAGGGATTTCCCGTATCCCGCTTACAGGTTTAACTTCCAGCAAGGGATCAAGGAACATAGACACAGGGGTTGGGACCTCCATCGGGAGGCTTTTGGGTTGCCTCCAAAAGGCTCCAAAAATGAGGCGCCGAGATTCTTACCCTCGCATCCACAAATATACAGGGTAGGTGTTCTTTTGATCGGTTGGTTCGAATAACAAATGGATGGGTGTTGCTCGGTTCAGGTGGGTGTTGTGCCATCCATGTCCCAAAATCCATCGTTTCTTGGCCAGGCGGCCAAGAGTTTGCGCGCCGAGCGCTTGGCGGAGTCGGGTCAGCCCAGACTGGGCATGGCTTGGAGAAAGGAGAGCCCCAAGATGCAACAGGAGGTTCGACCCCCAAGTGGTGGAGTGAGGTCCTCTGGTTTCACTTGAAAACTAACCCGAAAACTGAATCCTGAAACAACCAAATTGCAAAGAACTATATCATGTTATTTGTTGAGTGTATGTTTACGCTCAGTTTTCATGGGATTCACACGATTCAATCCACTGTTGGTAGTTCATGGCCTTGGCCGCAAGACACGTGCACAACAAGATGTTTCGGGGAAGTTCAGGTAGACGCAGAGTTCAGTTTTTGCGGGGATACTCACTTGTGGAGAACGCGCGTCTGGGATCATCGAGGGGCAAATGTCCCCTTATTTTCAGGGATCGAAATCCTTGTCACCATCACAATCACTATCGCAGTTTGGTATTGCTATCGCCATCATCATCATCATCATCATCATCATCATCATCATCATCATCATCATCATCATCATCAGCCTGATCAATCATCAGCCTTATCAATCATCAGCAGCAGCAGCAGCAGCAGCATCATCATCATCATCATCATCATCATCATCATCATCATCATCATCATCACCAAGCGCTTGCGCCCATGACACTCGCAAGACTTCGAACAACTTTAGACACATGACGTTTTTTGCGGAGAACCCCTTTGCAGCTGCAACACCATGCCTAGAAAGCAATCACCAAACTCCGAAAAATACACACCCTCGCCCCAAAGCTGTGGCACGGCAAATCTGCACAACGACGATGATGACGATGAGGATGATGAGGATGACGATGACGATGACGATGATGATGATGACGATGACGATGACGATGACGATGACGATGACGATGACGATGATGATGATGATGATGATGATGATGATGATGATGATGATGATGATGATGATGATGTCGATGACGATGATGATGACGATGATGGCGATGACGATGAAGATGACGATGGTGATGATGAGGATGATGATGACGATGACGATGGACGATGACGATGATGATGATGATGATGATGATGATGAGGATGAGGATGAGGATGAGGATTAGACGATGATGAGGATGAGGATGAGGATGAGAATGATGAGGATGATGACGATGATGACGATGATGACGATGATGACGATGATGATGAGGATGAGGATGATGAGGATGATGAGGATGAGGATGATGTTGAGGATGACGATGACGCTTGCGTGAGCGGTATTTTGGTCTAGCTTCCGGCAAGAGGCCTTCTGGCACCGCAGTGTGGAGTAGATGCGTGACGTAGGCGAGGGTGTTTTATGGCGCACGGGCGACTTTTGATCGTGGGTTGGCCATTGGCAGCAGGGGCAAGGGACGTGCCCCTTTCGACCCCCTGAACAAAGACAAAAGGGATTAAAGATTTTGGGGGGGTCAGTGGGAATCAGCTTAGCCTTTTTCAGGGTCTGGGAGTATTTGGTGCATGAGGCTTCATGGGGGGGGGGTACAAGGGTTGATTTTCTGAAGGGTTAAATAACTTGGGGGTTTTCAGGAGGCCATACTGAAGAAACAGGAATGGAATGGTATTATATAAAAGTGAGTGTCTATGAGAGAGATAAGAAACAGAATGAAAAGGAAGACAGTAAATAATAGTAAAAGATGAAACACCAAAGGTAGCAAATAATAATGAAAGCGATAAATACATGATAATAATACAATATAGAACTGACCAAGAAGTAACTCATAAAAGAAAATCAATATAAAATGACCATAATAATGAAATCCAAATAGAAAAGACACGAGAATTAGACATAGAAAAGGTATCAGTAAGAATCAGCCTAGTCTTATTTAGTATCGAGTCAAGGGGATGAATTTCTGTTCCCATCTCACTTCGCAGCTGCGACAGACCTCCCGAGGTGCGATGACGCGCTGCCTAGCCGGAGGCGCAGCTGAGGAATTTGGGCGTGCCTCTTTTGGAGTCGGTGTCATTTTGGGGTGGACTTAGGAGACATTTTACCTTTTATCGGCGAGTCAAGGTGAAGCAAGCAATAACATATAGATTCTATAACTGGGCCAAACGGAAACCAAAGTCCACTTTTTGGGGTCCATTGAAAGACACCCATTGCATCCCTCCGAACTTTTTGGTTGATGACATACCTCAAGAGGACATACCCTAAAATCAGTGAGTATGAATGAGCTTTCCAGGGCGCCTCTCGCGGCTTGCAACCTCTTTTTGGGTATGTGAGTTGGACATGTTTTTTTTGCTTGGCAAATTTCTTGCGCAAACCTGAAACCGCAAACTGAAAGGGGCTCAAATGGAGAGGGAAGACACCAAACAGAATGGGCTGACTACCATCCGCGAACATGTATCCTGACTGAGGGGGAATCCGGAGGGGAGTATGTATTTTGTTTGGCGGGTGGTCTGGGCCAATTGTAGCTACCTTGCAAGGGGGCGCGGGGTGAGGGGGGGATCTCACCCATGATGAAGGCTCGTTTCATCGGAATCCGTTCTTTCCGGGCTGAGCAGGGGGGTGGCCATTTTGCCACAACGTAGAACCACGCACCAATAAGCAAATCAGCAAACCGGAGGTGAGGCATCCAGGCACCAATCAGCACATGACATGGTTCTTTTGCGGGCCTTGCCCTGGGCGTATCCATCTGGGTGTCATCCCTTTCTGAGGTAGAAACCAGCCTCCGCTTCAGCCCGCCTTGGCCAAGGGTTTGGCGCAGAACAGCCCGAGAACTTGTCGGGCTTGGTGGTTCCCCAAGGTGAAGCAAGAGTCATTGCCGGACACGGCTTGCGTGTTGTGTGTCTTGCGCCTCTTTCTTTTTTTGCATTTCCCTTTGAAACACAAGTTGTGACTGTTTGAATGTAAGTTTGGCTCGAGGCTTCTCCAGAGGACCTGCTACCTCGAAAGATTCTTAGGCTCGCACCATCACAGGTATTGGAGAGACTCACTGCCCAGGCGGCATGCGAGCTGCCAACCAAACGGCTCTTTGCTGTCTTGTGAAGGGCGAGTCAAGTGAAGCCTCCCTGCCAACCAAACGGCTCTTTGTCTGTTGAAGGGAAGCCATCAAAAGTACAATCACGTGGCGGTACCTCGGATTTTCATGTTGAGGTACGCGCCCGGTCGAGGCTTCCCTGGATGTGTGCTGAGGGTAGCCGTTTTTGGGTGAAAACCAAAGGGCAACCACCATTCTTAGACCCCGAAACCTGAGACAGGCTCATATTCTTGCCTTCGAGAGAGGGGCTTCGGGGCGACGCAGGCCTAAGGCGAAGTTCAGAAAGAGCCCCTCGGCTCGAATTTGCTTTGCCACCCTTTGCAAAACCCCTCGGCCGCGGCCCACATCACTCGTGTGTCAACTTGATGGGCCTGGTGGAAGGGGAACCAAGCGGAAAGGCCGGGAGAATCCAGCCACAGGTTTACGACCACACAGAAGCTAGGTGTTATTTTGAGTTGACATGTGGGGTGTGGGGACTGCTAGTTGGACTCCCTATCATGGAAGTATAAAGCATCGGACAGGGAGTTGCCCTTACCTTGATAAACCGGGCGCCACACCCACATGTGTTCTTTTCTCTCCAGCAAAGGGATGGACAATTTTTTAGATTTCCCTCGTGGACATGTCTGGGAGCGCGCTGGTTTATTTCCACCCAGCAGTTGTTTGGGCCAAAGGTAACGAGGTCAAACAGCATGGGCCGCGGTTGTTGTCGAATCCAAGGAAAGCGCACCTCGAGATTCCGAATTTCCATGGAGTTCCCCTTGTAACGCGCTTAAACTTAACCCTATAGAGCTGGTTGAATCAGAGACCAATTTCCGAGTTAAAGTTTGCTTTGGCTTTGCTCGACAGATAGATGTGCTTGCTTTTGAGCATCTCCCCGTTTTTTCTCTTAGGAACAAATCAAACCTGACAATTCACCATCAGTTTGTTGGTCCTGGGTCCAGTTCCTCATTACAGAGAGAAAGAGAGAGAGAGAGAGAGAGAGAGAAGAAGAGACCTCTGCGCCAGAGAGCAGGGCCCTGCCTAAGGCGCCATCCCTCCCGGCTTCGCAGGGGGCTCCAGAACCGTCATTGCCCCCTACACTTGGAGTTCAGACTGGCTAAGCGCCCCAGGCTCCGTAAACGTCATTGCCTGGCAAAAAGGGGAGCCCGCGGTACCAGCAGCAGAAAAACGAGAGCTCATTATCGAGCGGTGCCCGCAAGCATTTGGGCATGAGAGTTGGGCCGGCGGGCCTGTAGAAAACCAATAGGGAAGCGCTCCCATGAGTGAGCACGCCTGCGAAACAATCGGGGAGAGCACCTTGTACAGCGCCCGGACAATGGGGAGCAATTCGTGGCCTGCAGAAAGCAAATTGGGGAGCACCCCATGAGCGAGCAAGCTCGCGAAACAATCGAAGAGCACCTCATAGAGCGCCAGTGAGCACGCCCCATGAATGTGAGCGCCCACAAGACAAGCGGGGAGCACCCCGTGCCCGCAAAACAATTGGGGAGCACCCCATAGGCGAGCGCCCGCAAGACAATTGGGGAGCACCCCATAGGTTGGCACACCCGCAGAAAAGAATACAACACACCGCCAAAAGGCGCGGGAGAAGAGCACCCGCCAGTCACGCGCCTAGAGCACAAGGCCGGGAAAGAACGTGCCCAGGAACGTCACCAAGCCGTAGTTGAAGATGGGTACCTCAAGGTCGGCGGAAAGAGCCGGAGGCTCAAAAAAAACTGCAGCAGCAACAACAACAGCAGCAGCGACAAAGGCAAGGCCGGCAACAGCACTGGCAGCAGCAGTAGCAGCCGCAGCAGCATAAGCAGCGGCAGCGACAGCCACCGCAAGGCGAACAAAGGGAGCAGAGGCCAAAGGTACACAGCAAGGAGAGAGAAACGGACGTGTGGGTTGGTTTGCCTCTGGCGCACCAGTGACCACACGCGACCAAATCGTGTGGTGGCACCCCTGAGCCTACCGGAAGCGCCCGGCCCCACACACAGCTCGGGGCTAGTTCCTCATTAGACCCAAACCCACTTTGTTCAGTGTCTAAACCCACTCAGTTCATTGTCTTCCCTTTTGTTTTGGTGGCTTCCCCACTAAAATACTGGTCAACCTCAAGGAGTGGTTTCCCTCGGATCTCACTCGCACCAGCGAGTGCTGCACTCCCAGGTGTCACGGAGACTGTGCCGAGCGGCGGCCGGGAGCGCCGGACCTCGTTGGCAGACGTGGAGTCCGACGCCACGGAGGTGGGACGCAGGCGTGGCGGCTGAACTTGCTTCCCAGGAAGAAAAATACGCCTCCTTAAAAGATACATTTTGCCCATTTGAAACATGGTTTTTTGCACCAAATTAAAGGAAGCCACCTATAATCTCAGGATCCCTTTAAAACGGGCCCCCAAATGTGGCGGGGACGGGTAAGTTTTGGCCTTGGGGCTTTGAGAGGGGTCGAAGCTGGAACTGCTGGGGTCCAGCTATAGTTCTGCTTGTATTGGGTGATGTCAACATATTTGGGGCGTTTTGGGGCATGGGAACCCTTCTACACAGGTCCTGAGATACCTAGCTGACAGCCAGGGACGGGCAAGCTCAGTAGGGAAGGGAATGAGGGAATGAACCTCCCAGTAAAAGAAACCACCAGTCGGATGCTAATGTCATTCCATTTATTGAAGCTGCAGGTCCCCTTCAAGGCAACCAGAAAGAAGGGTTTCTCTTGGGGTCAAAGTCATTCCATTTAATGAACCTGGAGTTTCCCTTAAAGGCAAGGAGTTGGATGGCTTTCTCGGGTCATTCCTTGTCTCATGCCCATCTCTGGCGCCAAGGATGCTTAAAACCTTACAACCCTGCACGGGGAACCGTTAGGAAAGCCTACTTTTTGATTAAGATATCCATTTTCATCTTGTCACATCTGTTCTCTTCCAACGAGTTATGAACTCGACGCCAGGCGCCCGGGCGAGCGCCCAAACCTCCTGGCGCAGCTCCAGCGAGGCTCGAGGGTGGGTTTGGGGTGTTGCGTTCCCCGCCCAAAACGGATATGGCTGTGGTCAAAGCAAGTAGCAACATGGCACTTAGGGAAATGGAACCAAAGACTAAAACCTGCGGTTTGCCCTAGCTCTTGAATTTTGAGACATTCCCGTATGGCTGTGGTGGTCAAAACCAATGGGATCCCATTTTGGGGTAGGTGAACTCACCACTCAGTTTAGAACCTATTTTAGTCGGGATGGGGATGCTCACTGGGTTTTGACCCCTGGCCATATCTTCATGTGAGTCACAATCAAAACCCGGGTAGAAAGGTAGCAAGGGCCAATCCCAAGAATAAAAAACGCGCGCATGGTTCTGGGTGTGGAATTTTCATACCGGGTTTTGATTGTGACTCATGTGTAAAGCAAGACGCACCCAGAAGTCGAGAGTTGGAACCCACACCGATTTGCAGCTTGTTGCCATTTCCCGTTTCATGTTTGTTGCAGTGGGTGGGAAGCTTTCAAATCAATGTCCAACATTTTGTCCATGGCCATTGTTCTGGGATAAAGCAAAACCCTCAAGAGTGGGACGGAAATCCCCACAGAATTCTGACGTAGGGCCCCGAATTAGCATTCATACCCATGTTAGCAACAAATGAAGCTGAACGAGCTGCTATTGAAAACTGACACAGTCGTCCTTCTCAGCTCAGTATTTTTTACTTCAAGCCACACCACAACATGCATACGTACGTGCTCTAGGTGAACCAGCGACATCTTGATGTTGGAGCAAGATGCCAGCTCATCGTCGGCTTGTCTCACCGTGTCATGAAAAGAGCAAGCTCTCAAAGAAGTGGCAACCTGAGACAAGGTACCGGCATATGATTAAAGCTGAAGCCACTGGGATCCATCTATGTTCCACTGGCCGAAGAGGAGACCCTGTTGTGGGGGGTCCCATACCCTACTTTGACACGTCCTGTTGTGTCAATCGCCGATAGTCCGGCACAATTCTATTTAACAAATCTTTAGAGGTAGAATCCTCATTCTTTTCAGCCATCGTTCCTTGGAGAAGCCACCCCCCAACTCCCTACGCTCCTGTCAATTTTCAATACAGAAGAGCCCTTGAGATTGGAAGCATAGCTAGACAATCTATAAGCGTGCTTCGTATTGCGGATGCACGAAATCCTGCACCACCGTGAAATCATGGTTGAAACCATTATTTGTTGGTGTTTACAGGGGGAACTTGTTAGGTGGTGCAGGATCTCGTCCATCCACAGTATGTCGGATTGCGGGACAACCGCGTGCCATGGGCGCGCGCGTTGCGCGAGGCGACATCGTGCGGGACGAGGCTGCGCAGCATCTGCGGCGCTCGGCGCCTCGCATGACTCGAGCCAAGCGATTCGGGGCAAAGTATCCCACCAATGAAACATCTAGGTGCACCAGCTAGGTGCCCTTCTACCGTGTCTTTTTTGGGGGAGGGTTCCCCTACCAAAAAAGACTACAGATAAAAAGTTGGTACCCTTAGTCAACCTCTCTGCTGGAGGACCTAGACATAAAAGCCAGGGGGCCCCTTTAAAAGGAAAATGGTTCAAACCAGCACGGCCCTGTCACCTGGTCAGGTTCCATTTTCATTGGTGGGAGGGTATGTGCAAGCTATGGGGTAAAACGAGCTCGGTAATTCACGGCGAGGATTCCTTACTTGACTGTTGGTTTTCAGGTTTCGGGGTATCTTGACTGATTTCTCGGTTGCCCAGGAATCCCTTCCCCCTAATATTGAATGCGACCCCCCTCCCCAACTGAAAGACCGGAAGAAAACAACATGTTTATTAGTAGGTGTAGTTTGAGTTGTAGCACAAAGTTCCTTCCCCGGGCAAACATGTTCACGGGCAGTTTTTAAGCAACGGGATTAAATGGGGCAGGCTCCTCCTTTTGTCCGTTTCCACTGGGTCGAGTACTTAGGTAAGGAGGGAGGATGGTGGGTGCATGTTGCACGCAGGCAGGTTGGTAGGTGCTTGCCTCAGGCATGCGGGCAGGCAGGCTGGCAGGTGTTTGCTTGAGCATGTCAGGGTCTGCCGTTTACCGGCGCCTTTCCTTTTCGATAACCCGAAAAGCTCCCCAAATGCATTTGTTTAAATGAAGAGATCGACAAAAACATTGCCAGCTTCGGGTTCTGTTGCTTGTGGCTTCTGGAAGGAAAGGATCAGGGGGGCCTAATACGGCTCCAGTTGGGGTCACGAGGGACAATTGCTAGTTTAGTATTGGTTGAGAAATGGCCTATTTTGATTTAATAGAAAAGTATATGTTTTATTATTAGCGAGACCTTGATTGAAGAAGGGATTAGCTTTTTTGTTGAGCAGGTTTCCCTTCACATCAAGAAACACATAACGCAGGCAAGTCTTTTTATTCCCAAAAAAAAGTAAGTTGGACAAATATGAGTGTGTATATAAACATATATTTGTATTTACCCAGACCCCAGTGGTGCCATTTCTCATTCTTTTGGAGGGGTTCGCATGGAAGACCGCTTTCCTTTAAAGGGAAGTGCTGGTTGGTTCCACTTTTGGCGGACCAGAGGGTTCTCCCCACTATCACTGTCACTAAGAGAAAATGGTGGCAGGAAATTGTCTCATCCGTCTTTCCATCCGCAGGGCGTGGTTTGTGATTCGGACAAGGTGATGGGACAATCACATCTCCAACTGAGAGGTGGCCCTTGTGAGGTTCCATGTTGCCACCAGTGGACCCGTGGCTTCGCATCTCGAGGTGAAAGTTGGGGTCGGCAGCGGCGTGAGGCGCGCAAGCGGCCTGTTGGTGGACATGAATCTGAACCCGCCAAAGGGGCCCCCGATGAAAACTATACCCAAAGGCCGAAAGAGTCAAGGCGCGGGGAACTTATTCAAAAAAGAAAAAGGACAAACAAAAACATTTTGTCACGATTGCAGTGGAATACTGTGAGCATTTCTCAGGCCCCTCATGCAATGTAGTCGTGCTTGTATAGACTGATATGACCCTACTAGACCCACAAATCAATGGGCTTTGGGCGTGGCTTGCCTGTGTTGATTGCCAGACTTGAGTGACCTTTATGCCCTTTCACGCACTGACTTAGTCTTCGCCTTTCTTGTTTACGAGCCATGGTATGGTTATGCTGCCCTGGGTTTCTTTCATGTTCCCTTTCAATCAACCGGCTGTCACTTTTTGCAAGGGGTCTGACAAAGCGTTGGCGGAGTTCATAAAACCTGGTGGAGTTGGTCATTGAAACGCCATATTGTGATTTGGCTTCCTCTAACATGGGGCACCTCCCAAAAACAAATGTTATGGACCCGTTTATTCATGGGCTCCCCATGCTTTTCCACGGAAAATGACAAATATTCCGCTTGATTTCTTTTCAGAAGTTTCCCGTGTCGGGTATGACTCAGGCTGTCGGGCCAAGCCGAGGGAATCAAGCAAGGTTGGCGCCTTGGCTGTTGAGACTTTGGCCTTGGATAGATGCGCTACATGTACCCCCTAAAGACAACCGTCATAGGAATGGGAATGTGGGATCTTGACCCTGGAAGGCCAAGGCTAATGAAACTGGGGGCCAAATCAGCCCCCGTTCCCTGTGGTTTCAACGGCCCCCGACCAGGTACTCCTCTTTCGACAGCTTTGGACTGTACGGACCACCTTTGGAGTTGGAACTCCTGTCTGTCAAAAGGTGCAACTAGGAGATAGAAGGCCAACCCGGACAAGGCAACAACAGCTAGGGCGTTTCGTCTCCCCCCCTCACTTCAGCCTTCAGCGAGTGGATGCGAGAGCTCTCGCGCAGGCTACCGGTGGGCTCCGGCCACATGGTGGGCCGCATCCCGATCCACGCGCCTCGTGCAGATGGGTGGGAATCGGACTACAAGAGCAGACCATGGTCCCTGAGGGTCCTAGCCCTGGAATCTCTTTGCCACCTTTTGTGGAAAAGAAAATTGATCGACCCCCTCGTAGTGAAGGATTCCTTTTGAAGGGGGTCGCCAATTTTCGCTCAAAAGGTGGCAAAAAGAGTAACCCCCCTGGGTTCGGATGGTGGTGGATGCAGCCCTAGCACAGTGCTTTGAAAAAAACTAAGGGAAAATTAACACACAAGCCACAAGTGCCACGGTAGGAACTGGAGGAAAGACAAGCCGTATCGAAACCTTCCTGAGTCTCAAACTAGGTGACCTCATTTTGCATGGCGAATACATTCTAGAGCTCGAAAGGAAAACCAGCCAGGTGCTTCATGAGTTGCTTTTGCGGTCATCAATCAATCGCTTTTGGATTGTGCCATGGATGAACCTTGGACTTTGTCAACCAGGTTGTGGCTTCAGGGCCAATCAGTCATGCTGGAGGACTCCTTTCGCGGAAACGTTTGGGTAGCCAGCTGGCAGGTTTTGGAGCGGTACGAGGGGGAGGTTGCTCACGCTTGCTCGCTGCCCATTTTTTTCCTGGCTCGGGGGAGATGTTCGCGGCCGAAACAGGCCGGGGGAGATGCTCGCGGCCGAAACAGGCCAGAACAAATTGTTAGCGGCCGAAATGGTCTCGAACAGTCCTGCTACTCCGCTTTGCTGAGCCTTTGCATCTGCGGCTTCCTCTTCTCTTGCTACACTTTTACTGGACGAAGAAAATTGTGGGCGACGGTGGTCTGCTGACTTTTGTTCCATGACTGCAGAGCAGCCGCGCTGAAGGTGAGCTTTTTGAATCAGCTTCGTATGTTGGAGCTCTTCTCTGGCGGATGCGCGGCAAGCATGCCGATGATTTGGTATTGCTGCTCTTTTCCCTGGAGTTTCTGCAGGAACCATGTCAGGTTGTGCAGATTAGGCGACACAGGTGCGTACTGGACGTGTAATTGGGCGACCCTTCGTAGCCCTGGCACCTGCGCAAGGCAAGCTATTTACGCCATCCCTTTCGCATCCGTCTCTCGCTGCTTTGAGGGCAGCTGAGACCATGCCGCGCAGGACATCCCTGGCTATGACTGACGACCCAGATATTCTGAGCCGACGGTGCACGGCCAACGTAGAGGGGCGGCGCATCATGTTTTTAAGGGGTCAGAGTGTCGCTTCTTCTCCAGGTTTGTGCAGCTAGGCTGTGTGAGCCCTGCCTGTTACCATTATTAGGCTTGACGTTTGAGAATGTGCACTGTCCGGCGCCGGCTTCTGGCCGCCTACCCTGCATTCTGCCCGGCTTGCTACTGTAGCAGGCGGTAGCAGGCCCATTGCAATGTGCAGGAACATATTGCAGGTGGCCGGCCACAGCGCTGTGCCCACACTGCCTGTATTAGTATCATTGTCTGCCATTGGACGGGGCAGTCGTTTTGCCCGAGGATGGACTTGGCGCACATGCGTGGAACTACCCAGCAAAACCGCCTTAATTGCGCGCGCCGCTTTGCAGAACTCCATGGCAAGTTACGACTTTCGCGCCGGAACCTCCAGCCGCAGCTCACAAAGAAGCGTACTTGTGTACTAGACTTTACTGAAAAGTTGCGACTTTCCAGCCGGAGCTGCCAACGTTTACTTTGCACTGAGACTTTCGAGCCGGACCTTCCGCACGTGTGCTGAGCATACTACAAACCTATGCGCTGCAAACCGTTGCAATGCACAACGACAGGGCCTGTTTACCTTGCAACGTAGATACCGTGAGTCGCAAATCCCCCACGAACCCGCAAATGCCCACGAGCACCTAATCACCGAGGTTTTGGGGCTATTTTTTTTCGAAGCTATGCAAGTCTCTGGAGATTCGCACCCGTATAATGAGTATGTGCCATCACTGGCCTGCCCCGAAAATGGGGGTGGTGGTGTTGTTTCTGTCGGATTCCCTTTGGGCCATTATCAAAACGGGTACCTTCAACAAGAAGCAGACATGCACAAACACCCACATAAGCAACCCTGGCCGCTTTTCACCAGTGATTTGTCGCTCTTTCCCCCAGCCGACTTGAGTCCCTTAGGATTCTCCCAAGCTGCGCCCGGATGTGGCGGCGCCGATCGTTGAGGAGCAGTGCTCGATTGGCTGGGCTTCAGTTGGCTGAAGGTACCCTCCAAAGGGATGCACCAACAAAAACTTCTGGGACCCGGTGGGTTACCCTTCAACCGAACTCGGGTCATTTTGAGGACAAGTTTCATGGCTCCAGGGAAGTACCTGGCGTTCGGTCCGATGTTGTGGTCGCACGGCACCAACTTGGGGCTGGGTTTCCTTCAAACACCGGGATGAGTTGCCAGTTGTTTGTTTCCGGAGCGGATGAGTTGATTTCTCGTTTGTTGCCACTCGGATTTTTCAATCAGGCGGACGAGCCTTTTGTTTGGCCCAGAGGTTGACAGAATTCGGAGAACATGTTGGGACACCAGGGAAAACCCTTGAATGCTTATTTGGCTTTATTTATTTGGCTTGTTTTTGGCACGGTTTGGCGCAGCGGCTGTAGCAAGTGCGATCAAAGCCGGCTACGACTTGAACGCCGTGGATCCAAAACCACGCCACACAGCGTATGGCGACACTGTCGTGTTGTGGTCATGGATCATCGCTCTCAACAGTGCCATCATCGCCAGCAGCTCCTCCAGGCGCTGGCGTCATCACCAGGTCAGTGTCAGTGCTGAAGAGTGTGCTCAGGAGCCGGCTGTCTGAGGGCCTTGGATTTCTCAATTTCCCAGATTGGCGCCACCTACTTCTCGCCTCTCTCGAATGATGGACTGATGATGATGGTGTGGTTGTTTACCCGCCTCTCACCATGGACCAAAACCAGCGAACTGCGTGCCTTGTCATGATTGATAGCCATGTTGTCATTTGCCATGTGTGTTGGCACGTGGACTCCTTTCGGATCGCAGTCGCTGGGGTCTGTGCTGCCTTTAAACGTGTAGAAAGCGTGTTGCGGCGGGTCCCATCATGTCCCCCACAGGGGGAGGCCCTTTTAGGGAAGGTTCCCGTTTGTTGAGGAAGCATCCAGTTCAGTGAGAAACATGTGTTTGGCAAAAGGGGAGGCCTTAGGTGGCGTAAGTCAGCGGCGAGGTTCGGGTGCCCTCGTGCGGGTCTGCCTAAAAAAGGGTAGGGCAACTCCCAAACTGGGTGGTTTCATTTCGGTTCCCTGTTAAAACCCTCCAACAAGGGTACCCTCAAAAAAGGACACTGCCAGGATTTGGGGGCGAGCTGCGTTTTCGGATCCTTGCGGATGGGACATCTTTCAGTGTTCAAAGGGGACGTTCATTTGGGGAGAATGTATGACACCCACTCAACCTGCAAGGGCACGGCTCAGACGGCTCACTTTGCGTTTTTGTTTGTTGGTGGTTTTACACCTCGCGATTTGCAATTGGAGGCTTTCCTTTGGGTGATGTCATGTCTTGGACATCTAGTTGGAGCCGTTGACCTGTTTGGGTTCCCTGGGGCTACGTTTGGTTTCCTTCTCCTCTCCCTTCCGGCAGCTTCACTTGCGAGGATGTGAGCTTGCCTGAGCCCGCGCCTGTGGCTGCAGATGGCTTCGCTACGTGGTTGCCCCTTTTCAAAGTTCGTTGTTGACCCCTTGGTCGTACAGATATGGCCTCAAGAGGTGACACTTTTGGGGGTTTGAGGTTGTAAAGAAGCTAAGACTTTGATGGAAATTGTCTTGTTGACTTCCTTTTTATGGCTTTCTTGGTTGTGCCCTCTTGCTTTGAAACCAGAGCCGAAGTCCATTTCGGCACCCGACTGGCGTCCACACCCCCTTTGTGGCACCGGCATGTTGCAAGCAGGGGCTGGACGCCTCTCAAAGCAGGTCGTGTTTGAGGCAGCCCCCCAAACTAAATCCGCTTTTCATAGTGGAATCCCCTCATAGACTCGCGTGAATAGGGGTGCCCCAGCGATGTGGTCAGTCAAGCGGAGCATAGAAGGCTGCAATCGGTTCAGCTGGAACAAAAGTTCGACGGAGCTTTCAATGGCAAGGTGTTGGTTTGGATCCCGTTTCGCAAGGCTCTTTAAATTTGTTGGGATCCCCATTCCAACGAACCACATAAAATTCTTCTCCAGCCGACCAAGTCACCAAGTCACCTTGGGTTTTGTTTCACCTGCGAACGAACGGAGAGCCAATCTTGAGCCAATCTTTGGTGCCATGTAGAACTCCTCAAAAGCGGGTGAAACTGTTCTTTCATCCCGGCGGTGGGGAAGGATTTGAGCCAACAGCTCGTTGCCAACAATTTCGGTTCAAACCTCCTTCCCTTTTCGCCTTGGTTTTGTTCACCTCCAAACCTCCTTCCCCCCTTTTCGGCTCAACAGATTTTGCCTTCGACACCTCCCTCTCGCCTCGCCAAACTCTCCTCGCCTCCGCCATGGCCGCCGCGGACCCCATGCCTCCGGCCGCGGCGAAGATCCTGCTGGCGAAGCCCGCGGTGCCGGCGCCCCTGGACCCGGGCTTCTCCCCGCTGGTCCTCGCCAAGAAGCAGCCGCTCGGATATCTGTTTCTTCTTTTGTTCCAAATCTTTGTTGGTGTGCTTTTTAGGGCCTGGTGGAAAAAAATAGAGGGGTTCCACTGGTTTAGATGGGTTTTGTTCCGCTTATCAGGGCCATCATTTTTTTCAAGAGGCCACCTATGCTCGGAATTGGTCGAGAAAAAAAACAAAAAAAACGGACTGAAAGGAAACCACAGGGATGCTCCAGCGAATCAGAGAGAGAGAGAGAGAGTTGGCAGATCCCCGCAAAACATCAGAAAAGGAATGACACACACACACTCACACAGCCGGGGTGTCATGCATTGAATGTGACTGACGTGCTGCTGTTCAGGAAGCAACTGTATGGAATAGTGAACGAGAAGGTTGACACAGAACAAGACACCTAGCTGACGAGGTGCCTGCAGGTTTGATGCCAACCCGGGCTTGATAGAAGGGCGGTCGCTCCAAAAACGATCTCTTAACTGAGACACCCCGAGTCACTTGTCCAGAGGGTTATAGAAAATTGACAGGAATCCTGTTATGCGCAGTATTTGTTCTCAACGTAAGACAGGACTTTAGAAATTGCCTGGTCATCCAAGAAAGCATCCAAGAAAGCGGCTGGACACATGTGGACACTGTATTGGCAAAATAGGGGAAGGTCTGCAGTCGCGGAAGGTTTGCGGAAGGGTTTGCCTCACGGAATCTTCGTCGCAGGTTTATGTGCTGACCATAAGACACTAGTTGCATAGCATGAAGGATGTGGGCTAATTGTCACGTATATAGTTATTTCTACGTATTGTATACACATACACATGTAGAGGGTTGTCCAAGTTGCACGAAATGCAAGCTGCTCTAGCCGGTTTTGAAGGGAATTCATAAGGAGATTGCTCGGGACGGTCTTGTTCCGGGGTCCTCTCATGTCCCCCCCCGCCCCCACCCAACACGAGCACACCCCACATTACCTTTGCAACCCTGTTTTTTCGGATGCATTTGGGGATAGGAACTCAGACCCCCCTCCCCCCCTCTTCCCCACTTCGGATACGAGTCCCAGCTTAAGCGCCTCGCTGAAGCTAGGTACCTCAAGGCGGTGGCCGGTAGCACGGAGAGTGTGGAGTGGGCGCTGCCTCGGGCGGACGGCTGCGCCCACTACAAGCTCCCCGTCTTCCCCGAGGATTCCCCGGACGTGGAGGCGAGGGGATTTGGAGGAAGTCACGAACGGGGTGGCAATTGGGGAGTTTTTTTTTTTGTGGCTTCCAAGGAAGTACGTGTGGGAAGGAGTTTGCGGGGAAGCTTAAGGCTTCCGAGTTTTCTTGGCAAGCTGTATTGTAGGGAAATGTCCATGGAAAAGCCACCGGCTGCTTCTTTTGTTTGAAGCACAAGGACTGGAGCCATTGCGTGTATGTGGAAAAACGTTTTTTTGTCGCCACTTTTTGCTGCCATGAGGGAATCCCTTGCAGTGGAATTCGGTTTTGTTCTTCGGCATCTGCAAAGATTTCGTGGGGAGTTCCGGGAAGACTTGCGCTTCCAGTATGCCAAGCATTGGATGACATCAGAGCAAGGGACACAAAGCGAAGGCCTCCGTCTACCTGGCCGGGGTGCTGATCCAGGACATTGCCAGCCGTTCCACGGTGACGAAAAACCCCAGTAGACAATCCTCACTTCTTCAAAACCGACCCTTTAACCTTTTGGTTTCCCCGTTTGCGGCAGTTTTAGTAGAGGTATGGACCTTTTATTTCTGGATCCTTTGGGCAAGTGAGCATTGGTCTTGGGTTCTTTGCTGCTGTAAAGGGACCACAAGCCGAGCACATGGGTTCCTGAAGCTGCCGGCCTTTGGTTTGGGGCAAAGGTCAACCCGATCCATTCGAATGGGACAGGAAAAGCCTCGAAAATGGCAGGTCCCTCGAGATGAATCGACGACCAAAAAGAAGACACTGGCTTTGTCTCGATGTTTGCTTGACGCACGGGTGTTGCTGAACAGGTTTCGTAACACATAGCATTTCAGTTTAAACATGAGCCTTTCCACCAGTTTCTGGGATGCTGGACCCACATTGGGTCCAGAGTCCGGCCCCCCCCCCCCCGGTAAAGCCGGAAGCGGGACCTGAGCGTTGAGCTCCAGGAGATGATCTGGCAGCGCAGCGCCAAGAGTCTGCTCTTGTCCGGCCCCGCCAAGATCTGCGAGGCCCTCGCCAAGGACACGACCGCCCGTGCACGCGCTCGGGCTCGAAAGGGCCTGGACCCAGCCAATGCTTTGAAGATGTGTGTGTGTGTGTGTGTGGGAGCCCGTTTGAGGCTGGTTGAAGGGAAACCAAAGGGAAAACCATAATTATTTATTGGGTGCCTTATTAAAACATGAATCCGTCCTAAACGATCTTTCAGTAGGTGTGTGGGGTAGTGCTTAACTCACAGGAACCAATGCTTGCAATGATTTAGCCCCGTATATCCTACTGTTTGATAGACTTTTAGACTTAAGTTCAGAGTTGGAGGTTTTTTCTCATGTCTTGCTCAAATAGATCAACCGCCCACTAAGGCTTTTTCTACAAAATTGGTTGCGACCATTGCCAGAGCTAGCTTACTTAATTTCGCAGAAACCGAGGGTGCACTTCCATCTAACACACCCACAGAAGTCGGCCCCTTTGATTGACAACTGGTCCAAGGACCTCAAGGTGTAGCAACGTGGAGGTGTCAGGCTCAATGCGCTTTGCTTGGTCGCAGCATAGGGAATGTTTGTGTGTGCGAGTGAAGAGTTTGTAGCCATGGAAGGATTCTTGTAAACAAAGTGTTGATCGGAATTTTGCGAGGGGGCCCTCTGGCAAATCGCGCGTCCCAATAGGCTGGAAATGGTGCCTGACACACTTTGCGATTTTTGATCTAGTTTCCCCTTCCTTCGGAACATTACCTCAATTCCGTTTCACTGGCGATCCAGAACTTGGCGTTTCCCACCCATTCCTAGCAATATTGACTTTTGAGTTTAGCAGGATTCGTGTCCTATCCCGCAAAATGTTTCAGCTTTAGCAAGAGAAGGGCGCGCCTTGTTTGGAGGGACCTCCCCAAATGGCTGGCTTTCCTTTTGCTTTCCCATTGAAAGAAACACCCCCAAACAATCGTTCCCTCAAAAAATCAACAGCTCGGCAATGCTTCGAACGTGCACCCTTAAAAGCGTGCGCCCTTAGCAGCGTGCACCCGTAAGCCAACCTAAACGTGCAAAAAGGCGGCGTTGGGTTCGATCCACACCGCCAGGAGTACTCCCCAAGCGGGATGTACGCCTTTGAGGTCAGCTCCATGCCCAACGTCTGCGGCACCCCGGAGGACGGGGAACTCGGCGATTCGTTGCGATTCGGCGATTCGGGCCGCGGGGCTCGGAGGGTTGAGGCTTAGGCTTCGTTGAATTCCTTGGCTGTCCTTGAGGCTTGGCGAATTTACTGGCTTCAAGATCCTTTGCGGCAAGGGTGACTTCTGTTTTACTAACCTCTTCCTTTTCTTTAGGGACACACAACTCATCTCGGTCTTCCTTTTCGGTTTCCCTTTCAACCCAGCCTTGAAGCCGCGCCCCAAGAGCTTCAGGAGCCCTTCGTGGTGAAGGTGGTGCCCGCGAGCGAGCTGCCGCCGGCCAAGGACATGCCCCAGGTCTGCGGGAAGAAGGCGGACGGCTGCAGGCGCCTTCGTTTCGCCGCTTCGCCGGTGGCTTCGGCCTGCCTGAAACGCGTTGAAGTTGAAAAACCGGATGCTTCTTCGGTTGAAGGGAACATCGGCCGTGCTCTGCAGTTGCATCCTCTAAGTCTCTGTTTTTTCAGGGAGGTTCGCCTAAGGTGTTTGTTCCACAGGGGTTCAGTCAGAACTCTGGGCCCTTTATTTGGTCCAACCGCTTGGAGAAGCATGTTGATGATAGCGGCGACTCCGCGAACCGCATAGCTGGGTTGAAAAGTGCGGCAAATCGGAATCCGCAAAAATCGGACATCGGCCTTTTCCATTTCGGGCTTGACCTGAAACACTTCTAATAGCCAATTGTTTGAGGAAACCCACATTTTAGCTTCCCACTGCACAGCCTGTCCCAGAATTGGTTTGTCATTGGCTCCCAAATTCTTCCAAGGGTCAGCTACGTAGCAGTGAAAGCCTTCAGGCAGCCTTTTGGCTTGGCATTGTTGGGCCCTCCCTTCTTCGAGAAGCAACCCTTTGTAGCATGGTCAAAGACCTGAGTACTCAGTCTGACATAGGCTGACTACTAATCGTCACGGACTCTGGCGGTTATCCTGAGGGTTTCGCGAAACCTTTTGAGATACCAATGCCTTCCAAGATCAACCCTTGCACAGTGGATACGGGGCTGGAACAATGAAGCGGCGTTTCGTGAAAGACTTCAGCTTTCCTGTGCCTGAAACATCCCCCACTAAAAACCGAAGAAACAAAAAAACAAGCATACCATGTGAGTAACAATCGATTGGCACGTGGACCCCCCCAATCACAGCTCGAAATCACATTTCGTGCTAGCTGTATCTATTGGTTTGGTATGCAAAGTGTTTGCTACTTCGTGCCAGGTTCCACGCGGTTTTGGGCCCCGTGACTCGGTGATTTGTGACCAGCGGTGACCTGTAGGCTTGCCTTCGACCTGGGCAAGAGCGACATCAAGACCGTGGCGGTGAAGGATGGCGAGGCCATTCCCGCCAGAAAAGGGGTGTGTGTGTGTGTGTGTGTGGCGGCTGCTTTGCGTGTTCGGCTTTGCGTGTTTTGGTGGAAACCGTGTCTGTGTTTGGGGTTTTGGCGCCAAGGATGTTTCAGTTTGGGCCGCCTATTTCGTGACATACCCTTTTGGGCTTCCCTTCTGATGGCTATTACTTCTTAAAATCGAAACATAGGAAGGAACCCTTACTTCAAAGGAGTTCGACAACGTGTTGTTTCTCAGAGCGTTTGGAGAGGACAAGCACCGAAAGGGTTGCATATCGACTTTTTGTTCCTTTAAGGCTGTCCAGGGCCCCGCAATCCCAAGAGGGGCTACTAGATGCTAATAGCACATCCTGAGTTGGGGTCTATGGTAGGATGTTGTTGATACCGTAGCCAAAAGACCCCATCACGGACCACTAAAACAGAATTCAGTCAGCTGGGATTCCAGGACCTAGTGCCTTGGCGCAAGGACTATCTGGCGAGCAAACCTGGGGGTAAAACTGGCGACCAGACTGTAGGTCCTTATCTTGGGACCAAATTTTATATCTCAATTCAGGGTTTTGGGACTTTGCACATAGTTTTTGTTTGAACCTCCTGAAAGAAAGGACTCCGCTCTACCGAGGCTATAGACGTTTCAGGGCTCGAAGCTATGGCTGAATGTCTGCTTTTGATCAGGTGGTCTACTCCAAGGAGACGGAGTGGGACGTCACCAACCCGGACCCGGACTACCACTTCAAGGCGGTCACCGACGCTTTGAAGCTGGCCAAGGAGACGCTGCCGAAGGCGAGAATTGGGAGTCGGAGTGGCAACCACAGGTGTCACTTTTTAGGTTTGTTTGGTTGGACATAGATTGGGTGGGTTGGTGATTTTGGTTAGTTAGTGTGCTTAGGTTAGTTTGGATAGT